AATAATAAGTATGATAAATAAACATGCCCAAATTAACATAAAATACTAATTATTAAAACTACAGGTAATATATACTAGTTAAAAATATTGAATTTAATTTTGCTGCATTTCAAGCTGTAACAAATTCAAGAAAATGTAATGTAATGTAATTTTACTTTCATCATTGTCATTTAAAAATATGTCATCTTCCCATTTCAAAATTGGAAATCTTTGATCAATGTTAAATCAGAATTCTTTACAGTCTTTTCCACAATTAACACTGAATGTAATTTAATAATATAATTTAATTTAATAATAATTTATTGACACAACACCAATATAGTATAATACGGCAGTATGGCCACTAAATACAACTATTAACTACATTTAAAATAGAATTAACATATTTGGCGAATAGTATCCAAGTATCCAAAGCACTTAACAAATAAATAAATTTACATTCTTGATTTAGTTTTTTCAAATTCTGGAAAGCTAATATTGTGAAAAAAATGTTTTTCTATTTGATTTAATATCTGAGTTTGAACAGCTCATAACATAGTGTTTTTCATCACCCACTTCAGATGAGTCGCACAATTTGCATATTTTTTGATGGATATTATTGTACCGTCCTTTCTCAATTGGCAAGTTATGGCTTGAAATTCTTAATTTTGTAATTGCTGATCTTATTTTATAATTCAAAATTACTTTTAGAGAATTTTCAAATTTGCAAGTTTATTTTGATAATATATATATTTACTTGAACCAATATTGAATCACATTTTGTAAGGTTATAGAAACAGATTTTTCTGGATAGGGTATATATTTTCATGATACATGTAAACTGCAGTGCACATATTCTGAAGGTTTTAAAAACCAAATCAAAAATTGCTATTCCATCCAAGGCACACATTACATTTATGTAATACATATTAGCCCCCCAAGGACTGACTTTACATTATTAATCCCTCAGGGTCTGGCCTAGCAATGTGATCTCAGTTGTTCAATTATAACAACAACCTTTAGGAGACCTATAAGAACTCAACATTGCATGACTACTTCGTTTTTCATAGATTAAACTTTATATATAATGGTTGCCATGACAATCTTAAGTACATATCATGGAATAGAGCAACTGTCACTAGTATATCCTGCAAATGAATCACACATTCATTTTGTGGTCATGTGACTTAATCAAACTTCCAACAAAAAAGTAGAAAAAAGAGAGATATAATATCTAGTATTATGTTTTGGAACTGAAATTGTGATAATGTGACACTGAAAAACTACAGTACTTAACTGGAAGGACCCACGCAAGTTTGAGATTTAAGTTACATGGTTCTACTTTACGGTGTATCTAATGTCCATACTCATTATTTATAAAGTATATTAAAGGATTACAAGTACTGCATGCAGAAGGGGAATACAGATTTACTAAATGGAGCAGTGACGAACATAAATTACACTCTCAATTGGAGGGAAGCCTTGAAAATAAAATTTGAAACTAAATATACCGTATTTGTCCTAAAATTAGCATATGTATTTATATATTGAGTAGTTGGCTACCACTAAAAAAATTATAAAGTTTCTAAGATATTTACTCTGTAATGTTCGCAAAACACAGATGAAATTATATGGTTACCAGACACAGATCAAATAACCATGACAAATTTGATATTTGACCCATTCATTGGTTTCTATGGAGAAGAGATTTCATAATATTTCAAAATTTTGTATGTTAACATACAGTGAA